TAACAGGGTTCATAGTTCAAAAGTAATGAAGAATTCCCTGACTTTTCCAGGTTTTCCCTGACTTATAAAAATAAAATCCAGGTCACTTGTAGTTCATTTTTACATACTAATTGGTGTTTATGCATTAAATTTTTTCTCGACTGGACTCCATAATCTTTTTTATACCCTAAGAACCTCTTATAAAGTTTTCAAAACCACAAATAGTTTTCTCTTTCAAGAACACAGGGCCGGCTTTCATAAAATTTCCAGTTGCAAACATTAAATTCCCTGACTTTCATGAATATTTTTAAAATTCCCTGACTATTCCCTGTTTTTTATGAAGAATAACGAATTCCCTGACTTTTCCCGGTATTCCCGGTTTTCCCGGCCGCTACGAACCCTGCTAAACCAAAGCAATAAGTTAAAATGAAGTAAAATTTAAGTTTCTACATATTTTTGCATTCCAACATCTCATTTGCTAGTTAATATAAGAAATATACAGGGCACTACAAATACGTTGTTTTTCCGAATTTACTCACGTTAAAATACTTTGCATAGCCTCTGCTACACTTTTACGGCCACCGACAAATTTCTACTCGACGAATTTATCACGAAAATAAAAACGACCAATTAAACTAACATTTACTACCTTATCAGTAAGAAAAAAACATTACCTTCGTGCTGCTTATCTTCTATTTCACTAACGTCCCTACTCGTACCTTCACAGTGAACGTTTTCAGGCAGATCTGTGATCGTATGAGATTTTAATTCTTTTTCCGATTGTAATTCTTCATCATCCAGCTCCTCTAATAATTTCATAACCTCACTATCGTCCATGTCCAGATCTTCATCAAAACCGATCTTTTCCACCGTACTCTCGATTTTTATAGTTGAATTATCGTTATTAACACATGCATCTTCACTTACTTCAACATTATCTTTGACTACAACATCTTCCTTTAACTTAACTTCTTCTACAGGAGGCTCTTCCGCTTCCTCTGAAATGCGTTCATCACAGTTCCCATTTATATACACTTCAGTCTCTTCTGGTTCCTTATTTTTCACTTCTTCATCAGTAGTAGTACAATTTTCTTCAAAGCTTATTTCTCCATTATCTTTAACGTCCACCACATCACTTTTAACTTCCTGTAAGACCCTAACCACGCTTTCATGTACATTTACATTATTATCTTCATTTGTTTCCTCTTTTAAATCAAGTAGTAAGCCCTTAACCTCACTCTCACTTACATTATTATCTTCGTTTGTTTTCTCGTTTAAATCAAGTAGCAAAGTGTCAGTCTTCGAGTTGCAATCCTTAATTGACTTTTCCTCATCTTTAAGCTTATTGAGGTTTTCGTTGACAACGTTCGCATCGCTAACGTAGTTTCCCTTATTCTCTAACGATACATTATTGTCAATCTGATTAACATTATTCGCTTTTATATTGGTGTTCAAGTACTCGTTTAGGCTGTGGAATACGTTATTGATGGAGTGCTTGGTGACGGTGTTCTGGCCCACAGAAGGGGCGGCTGCTGATACGTTTCTAGAGGCATTGTTGTGTTGATCGGTTAATTCACTGTACTCGAAATCGTTCAGGACTTGGTCTAAATCAACTGCATATTTGTCCATCTGAAACATGATCGAGACTTAATTTAATCTTTTAAAGATGTAATCCTAGGTATTCCTTATATCTGCTAAGGTTCTGGGAACAGGAAGTAGGCGATAAGGAAGTGTTAAGGCAGCAAATTCTTCCTAAAGCTTTTACAGGTTTTAATATTTGCTACAAAATATATACGTTAACCGCTTACAACTGACCTTTGTTTATAATTTTATAAAAAATCATTTCATTTGCGTCGTATGTTAGTTATTTACGCTATTTGTTAACAATTTTTATCACCTTTTGACAATAAACTTTGACGTCTGTCTTCCGCATCATGGAGACTATACAAGGAGCCCGAACTCCATGTAAACAAAAATCTTACAAAAATAAGAGGGCGCTAGTGTTCCATATGTCCCATATGTAGAGAGGGGAGATAAAAAGCGGCAGTTTGAATTATAAATCAATCATGTCATTTTTGTAATGTGTTAAAAATTTTAAAATAAATAATGTAAGCTACTTTGAATTATATAAATCATGAAAATATGTCATTCCGGACTGTAATTAAACTAAATAGATAATAAAAAATATTAGCTTTATGAGAAGAATTTGGTGTTCGTAGAAAGAAACTAGTTTTCAAGGAATTTATGACGTGATCTTGTTAATATTAACCTATAAGTAAGGTTTATGTTTTTGATAATTACTTTGTTAAAGATTTTAGTTTAATGTTAGTAAAAAATAGTCACATTTTATACAGGAAGTTGCCTTTAAAATAATAGTAATTCTTGTATTATTAATATGGAATTTTTACTTGTGGTAATAAAAAATAGAATATAAAAAAA